GATATTGTAATATAAGTATTATTTATATTCCTTAATGTGTGAGTAGTTGAGAGAATTTCCCCCTGGGGATCAATAAAGTATTTCTGATTCTGATGTATAAACAATAATAAACATAAATAATATTCATAAATACAACTTTTAATGCTATATATTTTTAATAATTATACTATAAGGTGTTGCTTTGACTTTCTTCCCTCCCTCTGCAGCCTGGACACTGAAGAAGGGGCTCTTACCTTTGCACCGCCGGTCCAGCAGGGGGCGGTAGTGGCTCACATTGAACCCTCAGCGTGGCTCAGGCTCATGTCCGTGTTTACAAGTGAAGCGTGACGTTCACGGACTGGCCGGACTACGTCTCCTGGCGCAAATAAAAGCTGTTAATCTCCCTAAGAAACGCGCAGCATGCATTCACTGAAAGCCTTCCTCAACGAGAGGCTGACAGCGGCGGCGGAGGAGATCTTTGGAGCTGTTGAAAAGACAATAGCTGACTACAAAGAGGAGATTTCTCGTTCAAAAGATTTGGAAATCAGTCGCCTCAGGATGCAGCTGAAGCTTCTCAAGTCAGGTTGGTTTGAATGCAACCAAAACCTCATGCAACTTTGTTTTTTGCTTTTCTTAAATTGCATAATTGTGATTATTTGTCTTACACCCAGAGCCCCGGTTGGATAGATGCCTTGGAGCCCAGCTGCAGCAGCACACCCATCACCACCACCATCTCCATCCTCCTCCTCCTCCTCCTCCTCCCCCCCCTCAGCAGCAGCAGCTCCATCAGTCAATCCCTGCAGTGGAGGCTCCTGAGTCCCAGCACTGTGAGGAGGATGGGGGCAGCAGCATGGAGCAGGAGCACCCAGAGCCCTCACAGGTGAAGAAGGAGCAGCAGAGGAGCCACAGGGACTTCTGGATGGGTCACGACGCAGAGCAGCTCGAGAGCCTCGAATCAGACATCAAAGACTTCATCTCGTCTCCTTCCAGTCTGAGAGGCGGCCTGCAGGACCCCACCTTACCCTTCCACCCAAACCACCACAACGCCAACAACAACAACAACAACGAGGAGAGCAAAGAGAAACCCTACTGCTGCTCTGTTTGTGAGAAGCGGTTCAGCAACTGCTCCCACCTCGCCGCTCACATCAGGACACACACAGGGGAAAGACCTTACAGATGTGAGATATGCAGAAAGAGTTTTATCACAACCAGCGCTCTGAACAGACACCAGACGATCCACACAGAAGGGAAGCACTTTGTGTGTAATTACTGTGGGAAATCCTTCAAATGGATGGAGTCTCTTGGCCGGCACATGAGGAGTGTGCACAAGAGAGAGAATCTGCCCGTATGACTGTCATTGAACTGACACTGCCAATAGAATTATGTTGTTGCTGTATGTTAGTCCTCTATAATTAAAGTGTAAAGCATCCAGTAGGTGCCAACACTGAATGTAAGGTCTGTTTTTCTGTCTTCACTTGTGTTGGTAATCGTGACCTCATCGAGCCCTTGTGTGCATAAACACTGGCTGCAGTAAGTTATGTGTAAAAATACAACCACAGATACACCGTTTTATAAAGAAATTAAGGTAAATGTACTCTTTCTGAATAAAATTATAATATTCTACATGCTTATTGTTTAATGTATTCTGTTTTCTGCTGCAGGAGCACAAGAAGGGGAGGTTGCACTTTACTCCAGTAGGTGGCAGTAACAGCATTTCATTCACAATTTCCCATCAATCTACAATAGTTGGCAGCCTACAGACTCCAGTGCCTAATGTACTGAGTATGTACTGCTTTTCTGGGAACTGACAGTACTCTCAGTCTTCTTACAGTCAAAATATTCAAACCCTTTGTGTAAACACTTATTCTCAGTGGTGGAAAGTAACTAAGTACATTCACTCAAGTACTGTACTTTTAAGTATTTACATTTTGTGCTGCTTTTCCACTCCACTATATTTAAACATGACAGCTGGAGTTACTTTACAGATTCTGTTTATTAATACAAAATGTAATCAACAAATAAATGATGATGTGTTATTATATATTTAGCTACCACACATTATATAAAGTAATTAAAACTAGTCCCACCTCTACCAGCTACATTAAAGTGATGTACACATTGATGCATTAACAGTTAAAATCCAGTAGCAGAATATATATTATTCTTAAATGAGACGTTCTGTATAAGAAGTGATCTTATGTTTGGCACTTAAAGTTTATTTTGATGATAATAATTTGGTATTTTTAATTAATTTAAATTTTGAATGGATAACTTTTACTTTCTAAACTGTAATATTGTTACTTCTACTTATTTATTCCCTATTAATGTCCACTTAAGTAGTATTTTTGTTTGGAAAAATTATTCCGCATTGTCTGACAGTATCATAAATATTAACTTGTTCCAATTCTTCAGTGAAGCTATATGATGTCCACACTGAGTGAAATATTCAAACCAAAGACAAAAGAAATACTGTCGATATCTTCATCTAGTGCACAATTTTAAACACATATCAGCAAAATTCAGCTGAACATAGTTGGTCTCTTTTGAAACTTTGCGATCTTTTAAAATAAAGTTGTGTGGCTTTGAATTCTATGTAGCAGACCAGAGTTTATAATGACAGATCCAGTTGCATTAAAGGGTTAAAACTTTCTTTAATGGTACATTTTCATATACAAGAAGATATATGAACACATTATACATTCTTTACTATTTATGTTTGACAGATCTCTGTATTTCCACATAGGCCCTTTACATAGCAGACATTTTCTCTTGTCATAGCAGGAGAAGTGCAGGTGTTACTCAGAGATACTCAGCCAGACATTGTAAACATTCGGGCTCAGCCCAAAATTAGGGGAGTGCAGGGCCATGCTCCCCCTGGCCGATTTTGTTTTTACCATGACAGCTATATGCATTATTTTTTAAGCCAGTTGAGATAACAGAATGCCTAAAAATCGGGGAAAAACATGATAGTTGCCCAAACGACAAAATCATGTAGAGCCTACATCCTATATTGTCTGAAACCATAACACAAATGTTGTGGATTCTCACTCCTGCAAAGAGGCAAAATTAAAAATAGGCAGAAAGTGAAACAGGTGGTTGGAGGAGCACAGATTCAAAAGCACAGTACTGTTAATTGGTATAAATTAATTTTAACTTGGCAGCCACTGCGAGGTGGGTTGGTAACATACTGTTTGTCCTGGCTGACGGTGCTTGTACTAACATCCAAACTCACTTGCAGGTTTGGCAGATACTCTTATGAATAAATAAATAGTTTTCTGCTAAAAGTTATGGTTCTTGAGTTGATTAGTTCATATCTTAGACAACAGTGTACTCCTTTATAGCAACAGTTTGGGAATGCCCTTTTACAGTTTCAAAGAGGCACAAAGAAGTTTTCTGAGTTAGGAAAACCTTTTTGTGGGCCAGGCCTCATCAACCAACATCACTGTCCAACCTCCTTAATGCTTTTGTGGCTGAACAGGAGCAAATCTCTGCACCCAGGTTCCAAAAGTCTTGTGGAAATCCTTTTTTTTTTTCAGGAGAGTGGAGGCCGTTAGAGCAGCATATTAAAGCCTGTGGTTTTGGGATGAGATGTTCAACAAACGTGTGGGTCTAATGTTTGGGTGTCCACACACTTTTGGCTATGCAGTGTATTTGACACAGGCTATAAACTTGGGTTGTTGCTCTGCTTCACACAATTAGTCCAGTTCCCTCCTCAGGGTGAAATTAGACGAAGCTTCCCCCTGCTGCCCTTTCTATTTGCTGTCATTATGAAGCCATTACTTATATTCAGGGATGAAATTGGGATTTGTAATGCAGGGAGCTGAGTCACCATGTTGGCCAGCAGTGGTGGTGGAGGTATTCAAAAGTAGAAGTAGTGATAAAACACTGTAAAAATACTATGTTATAAGTAAAAGTCCTGCATTGGAAATGGTAAAGTAAAGGTATGTGAGTATAATCAGAAAAATGTGCTTAAAGGATAAAAGTATTCAATGCAGACAAATAGCTTTAGTGATCTCATTCACAGGTGAAAGTATTCAACTATAATGTTCAGTTAGATATACAGTTTTGACCGGCTTCATTGTGGCTATATCCAGGTTCAAGGAGTCTTTTTCAGATCATACATTCCTTTTTCATTTGTTAGCTAGCTAATAAAAAAAAAATACTTGAGATGCTGATAATGACTGTGGTAAGTGGCTGGTGCCTCACCTCTCATAACGTTGTAGAACATCTTGTTGAACAGGGTACACTCATTCGGTGGAGAGAGATTATCTGAGAGCTCTCATGTACATGTAGGTGCTCTGTGCAGTAAACCACTTATGACAAGTGTGAAGAATTAAAATGATGACACAATATCTCTTTTAAAATGTAAAAAATCTGGATTAAAATAAAGTTGAATTATGTCCCAGGGCTCTGCTCCAAACCATGTGGGTAAACCCAGAAACTTCTATGTGAGGTTGTGTAGGGAAAGACTATGGTGGAGATGACTTTATTGTATTATTTTACAACCCAATCTGCACTTTCTCTGCTGTAGAATGATTCAAAATATTTACACTGAATCTCCAAAAGAGCAATGTGCTTCCCATTAACTGTGTTGCCAAAGGGCTCACGCATTAAATGGATATAGACCAATATATGTTGCTGAAAACATCCTACCATCATTTTAAAAAAGCACTTTCTTTTACCAGTTTATTGAGGTTTTTGCTTCATAAATCTACATTTGATCATCATTATTCCAACACACCGATGACTGGAAACAACAAACCTGTGCCACTGATTGATTTTAATATGCTGCATCTTATTTCAAACCTTGACCTTGCGAATGTTTGAGTCCTCTAGTGTGCACTTGAAAGTATTAGAATGAAACAGTGCTCATTTGGACCTGTTATGACTGAATTGATTGGCTTCAAAGGCCTTCTTCATATGTCCCGCTGTCATCCTCAGCACAAATCCAGCAGCAAACCATGCCATCAAAATATTCATCCAATTTCATAAATATTTCATGTCAGACTATGTTGTTTTTAACAACTTTCTGCCACATTCAAACGCCACATTGTGTTTGGTCCAATAGGAGCACTGCAATTAATGATCCTCACAATAAAGGACTATTTTTATCCTTTTCTGCACCTTTAACCTGCAAACAATCCATTGTTTCCACTGTTAGAGTAGACGCTTCACACACCCAGCTCTCTCTCTGGTAGAGATTCTGACATTACACCACTTTGTTTAAGGTTTGGTTACGTTTATGCACAAGGTATGTTCACAAAGGGTCACATAATATACTCTATAGATAATCTGTTGAACATCTACAGACAATGTTACAAATACCCTATAAACTATCTGTAGGCAGACTATCTAAATAAAGTGTCAATCTCTTATTTTTCCTTGTGATTCTGAGTGTTTTTATCCTCAACAAACATCCTCACAGACACGGGTGGCGGACTCAGAGGGGCAGGGGAGGAACAAATAAAGAGGGCACCAGCTGCATGCAGAAGGGCCAAAAGTTGTGATGCATTTATGGTGAAACAACCCCTGGTTAAGATTAAAAATGTTTTATTGTGTGATAAGTAAAACTACTTCACATCTGTGATTAAAAAAAAAAAAAAACACAACCATTTAGAGGCATGTAGAGGCCAATTCATTTTCCAGCATGCAGGGGAGCATATATGGCACTGCATCATGTTTTTGTCCACTGGAAGGGCACTCCAGGGGCACTTCATCGTGTTTTCTTGCACACTGGATCACCATAGAGGGCACTTTTGCTGCGTTCTTTTTGAAAATGCCTTTTAACCTTGTTCCTAGACCCAGTGAACACCAGTGAGCTTTCCATTTCCAACCCTAGCCGGACCCATTTTAATCACGCGGCTGGTTGCTGAGACGGTGAGGATGCTGGCAAAACTGTGGGCAATGAGCTGCACCTCCCTGGTGGGTGGTGGAAGGAGGCAGAGAGCTCTGGTCACCCACGTGTTGTCTACAACCACTTTAAAATGCTCAGCAATGCCTTGAGATGATCCTGTGGGATCGTGTCCTCCAGGCTGAAATGGCGTGAGCAAGAGGTCAGAAGAGACTGATTGTACGGGTGAGAGGAGGTGAAATAGGCAACCGACTCTGTTCTCAGCACGCACTTCAGTTTGGCTGTTGAAGCTGCTGGTCATGGTGGCACTCCTGCAGATGAATGAGGTGTTGGAGGGTTTGCTGAAGCAGAAGTTTCATTGACCTGAGTGAGTATCTCCATGTTGCGAAAACATTCTGTATCTAATTCAATTTAAAAAAAACAGAAGAGCCCCCATGTTGAATTGCAACAGTAAAGTACAGTCTTCGGTCCTTGTAGGAGTCTGTCGACTACTAAAAATGGACCACAAGAGTTGCAGCCACAGTCAGGTCTCAGGCAGAGGGACAGTAGACAGGTGCAATGAAGGGTTAGTGGTGATCATTGGGGAAACTTTATGAAGCATGAAAGCTCCAGCAGGAGGAGAAAGACGGCTGTGAAGCAAATATGTTAGCTGGCAGATGCAGAAAAATGTGTTAAAACCGTCTCTCTGAGGCAAAACAGAGCTTGAAAGAAAAGGAAGTGTAGAGAGGAAGATATTTTTTGCTGGAGGGAGCTGTGGGACAGGGACTAAACC